GGTCTGATTTCGATGTGTGGAATACCAAGAATTCTATTTAAATGGTTTTGAACCCCATATTTTCTTCTCTTTTTCTTCGTACCAGATCGTGAAAACTCAGAGGACATAGTAGGCGAGTAGAAAAGCCAATAATGAAGGAAATACTAGTGGCATACTGGTTTCCACACCGAGTCATCAATTCTTGGGACCTGTTACCCGATGCAGTGGTGTCCGCACCTTCAGTTGAACCTATCCACGAGAAGACTTGACACTCAGAAGCTTGCTGAAAAAGAAACAATTCGAACCGCAGCCATAATGTTCTTAATACACGAATCTGAATCGGAAATTTTAAAAATTTGTTATTCAGAATTTGCAGGTAATATAGTAATCTTAACTGCCATCAAAACTGTGAACAAATATACAAAAAAACAAAACTGTAAGAGATAAATACATATTCAGGAGACGAAAGGAAATAATCGATGTAAAAAACGGAAATGGAAGGACTATTCCCATATTTGCCCAGAAGCATACAACAATTGTCTTTACAGACTCATCTGGAAGGACCATTTTGTGTCGCCGATGCTCAAGAAGAAAATTGCTCCATTGAAACGAACAGAATAGCTAAAAAGTTTTGGGGAGTAACAGAACCACACTGCTTAGGAGATTTTGAAGCACGTAACCCGCAAAGTGAACAGTGTTGATGAATAAGGGAGATATTAATACATTTCAGTCTTAAACTACAGCTAAGATGGGGTCGATCTAGGCTAAATCATGAAGGAAAGTACTCAATTTTTAGTGGCTCTAGTCTGTGACTTGCGTATTTTAATACAAGAAGAGATGACCGTATCACTTCATGGTGATTCCTTCGATTGATTTATTTGCATTTATTGGACTGTAGTGGACCAGACAAATATGAACGTGAAAAAGTATTAACCAAGATATTAAGCGTAAATAATAATGTGAATTGTTACAAATACAACAGAAAAATTGGGACTTTACTTGAGTTCACAAAGTTGATGTGTGTTCGGATTGGGTCTGGTACTAATAATCCACTATTATAAATGTTCGGCAATTCCGCTCAGGTTGTTGGGATCTCCAACGTTACTTACTTACTTACTTCCGCCTGTTACTCCCAATGGAGCATAGGCCGCCAACCAGCATTCTCCAACCCACTCTGTCCTGTGTCTTCTTTTCTAGTTCCATCCAATTCTTGTTCATTTTTCTCATGTCTATTTCCATTTCTCGGCGTAATGTGTTCTTTGGTCTTCCTCTTTTCCTTTCGCCTTGAGGATTCCATGTGAGGGCTTGTCTTGTGACGCAGTTGGGTGCTTTCCTCAATGTGTGTCCTATCCACTTCCAGCGCTTCTTCCTGATTTCTTCCTTCGCTGGGATCTGGTTTGTTCTCTCCCACAGTACGTTGTTGCTAATAGTGTCCGGCCAATGGATCTGAAGTATTTCGCGTAGACAACTGTTAATAAACACCTGTATTTTCTGGATGATGGCTTTCGTAGTTCTCCAGGTTTCTGCCCCATGCAGTAGAACTGTCTTGACATTTGTATTGAAAATCCTGACCTTGGTGTTGGTTGACAGTTGCTTTGAGTTCCAGATATTCCTCAGTTGTAAATATGCTGCTCTTGCTTTCCCGATCCGCGCCTTCACATCTGCATCAGATCCACCAAGTTCATCAATGATGCTGCCCAAATACGTGAAGGTTTTTACATCTTCCAAATCTTCTCCGTCAATTGTGATTGGATTGGTGCATTCTGTGTTGTATCGGAGAATCCTGCTTTTCCCTTTGTGTATATTGAGACCTACTGCTGCTGAGGCTGCTGCCACACTGTTCGTCTTCTCCGGCATTTGTTGTTGCGTTTGGGATAAAAGGGCCAGATCATCTGCGAAGTCTAGATCGTCCAACTGCATCCTAGGTGTCCATTGTATCCCGTGCATCCCTTCAGACGTTGATGTCTTCATGATCCAGTCGATCACCAGGAGAAAGAGAAAGGGTGAGAGTAAGCAACCTTGCCTAACACCGGTCTTCACTTCGAACGACTTTGTCAACTGTCCTCCATGCACAATTTTGCAGTGTAATCCATTATATGAGTTCTGTATGATATTGACTATCTTCTGGGGCACGCCGTAGTGTCGAAGAAGTTTCCATAGTGTTGTTCTGTCCACGCTATCAAATGCCTTTTCGTAGTCAATGAAGTTGATGTAGAGTGATGAATTCCATTCAATTGATTGTTCCACAATGATCCGTAGAGTTGCGATTTGGTCTGTACACGATCTATCCTTACGGAATCCTGCCTGTTGGTCACCAAGTTGGGCGTCTACGCAGTCCTTCATCCTGTTTAACAATACCCTGTTGAAGACTTTTCCCGGTATTGAGAGAAGAGTGATGCCCCTGTAGTTATCAAACTTGCTGAGATCGCCTTTCTTTGGGATTTGGACCAGAAGTCCTTCTTCCCAGTCTGTTTGTACTTGTTCCTCATCCCAAATTTTGCTGAAGAGAATGTGGAGTACCCTTGCAGTTGCCGCTACGTCTGCCTTTAGTGCCTCTGCTAGAATGTTGTCTGGTCTTGTTGCTTTGCCACTCTTGATTTGTCTGATGGCCATGCTGATTTCTTCAATTGTTGGTGGGACAATATTGATTGGGAGGTCCGTCGGTGCTGCTTCGATGTTGGGTGGGTTCAGTGGAGCTGGTCGATTCAAGAGTTCTTTGAAGTGTTCTACCCACCTGTTTTGTTGCTCTTCAATGTTGGTGATTACCTTGCCTTCTTTGCTTTTCACTGGTCGTTCTGGTTTGCGGCGATTTCCAGAGAGTTTTTTGTCGTGTCATACAATTGTCTCATGTTTCCTTCTCTTGCAGCCTTTTCCGCCGTCGTTGTTAAATCTTCCACATATTTACGTTTGTCGGTTCTGATGCTCCTCTTCACCTGTTTGTTTACTTCTGTGTATTCAGCTTGTGCCCTGGCTTTTTCTGCTCTTGTTCGACTGGTATTGATTGCTGCCTTCTTGTTCCTCCTTTCTTGAATCTTATCCAGTGTATCAACAGTGATCCATTCCTTGTGATGATGCTTCTTGTGACCCAGGACCTCATGACATGTTGAAGTGATTGCTTCTTTGATCCCCTTCCAGTTGCTCTCCACAGCAGTTCCTTCTCCGTTGAGTAGATTATGAAAGGCCCGGAACTTGTTGCTGAGGACTATCTTGAATTTGTTGAGTTTGTCAGTATCCTGAAGAAAGGTCGTATTGAACTTTTGTGATATTGTCCGCCCCATTGTCCAATGCTTCTTGAGTTTCAATTTCATCTTGGCGACCAGCAAGTGATGATCTGATGCCATATCAGCTCCTCTTGGTTCTCACGTCCTCTATAGTCCTCCTGAACTTTTTACTGATGCAAATATGGTCGATTTGGTTTTGTGTAGAGTGATCCGGTGAAGTCCATGTGGTTTTATGAATGTGTTTATGTGGGAATATGGTGCCGCCTATGACCACCTTATTGAAGGCACATAGATTTGCAAATCTCTCACCATTTTCGTTTCTTTCTCCAAGTCCGTGTCGTCCCATGACGTCTTCATATCCAGTGTTGTCCGTTCCAACCTTGGCATTGAAATCTCTCATCAGAATGGTCAGGTCCTTTGTTGGGCACTTCTCGACGATTGACTGCAGCCTATTGTAGAATTGATCTTTAGCGTCTTCATTGTAGTCGTTGGTAGGCGCATAGCATTGGATGATTTTCATTGAAATGCCCTCTTTCTTTGTTTTGAACGAGGCTTTGATGATCCTAGGTTCATGAGATTCCCATCCTATAAGTGCATTTTGTGCTTGTTTGAACAGCATCAATGCAACTCCTTGTGTATTTGGGGCATTTTTTTTCTTCATGGCCGGAGTATAACAGAAGCTCTCCTGAAGCTAGTCGTTGTTGTCCAACTTGCGTCCAATGTGTTTCACTGCTCCCAAGTACCTCTAGGTTGTATCTTCGCATTTCTGAAGCAATTTGGAAGGCTCTCCCGGTGTCCCACATTGTACGAACATTCCATGTACCTTAATAAATGGTTACTCTGGTTGTCAGAAGGGGCACCGGCCTAGTGGCTTCCGAAGGAATTCGGCTTTCATCATGAGGCGTCATAGTTCTTCTAAATGAAGACCCTCTGACTCCCAGGGCAGAGTTTAAAAGGTTTGAATAATTTTTTCTGGTCAGCGTTTTTTTAGCGAGTTAGTTTTCTACGGGATGGGAAAGCTAACCCCACACCCAACCCTTCTGCTTTATTCGGGCTTGGGACCGGCAGTAGCCCTCGGAGGGACTCCAGGAGGAGTTTCTCCAACGTTAGGTATGATATATTCCGACTCACAGTCTATAAATGCAGATAATGTTTGATTTAGAATACAGTTAGCGCAATCACAAGTGAAAGTAGAACAAGGCATGTGTGTATAGCAATGTATTTGTTAGCAAGCAACAGTATGTCACGCTATGTCGGTAACACAACAGAAAGTGTGTTCAAGGTCATTCACTTAAACAACACGTACAATCATGTAATGACAAATGTACATACAGTGAAAACTTGACAAAATAAACACAAATAACAATGAAAACTATTTACAAAATAAGCTTGTCAGGTCTATCTCTACAGGACTTTTCTAATCTCAACAACATTGAGAGTGGTTAGTCCTTGTGATAGTCTTCAATCATTTCTGTCGTTTACTCATAATTCATCCTTTCGTGTACTTAAGAAACAAAAGCAATAATTGATCTTTTCTAATAACTCAGGCGTGGGTCACATGGATACAGCATTTTGCTACATCGGTTTAAGAAATTCTTAGGGTTTGTATTCATGTTAATTAGGAAATAATTGTCCCACTAATAAATTCTTGAAGTCACACCTACCTTCAGGTTACGGCATTGTTTTCAGTTTGTCGACGATATATACCTTACAAGCCTAATATATATAAGAAACCAGATATCATGCTCGTTTTAATGTGTTTGTATTCAGCGCTAGGTTTCGTTAGGTTTTTCGGCGCTAATGTCTGCTGCAGTCCGTAGGTTAAGAAAGGTTAGATGTGGGTGTGTTACTTACTTTCATCATTAGTTAGACTCACCACTTAGTGTCTATTTATGTGTTTTCATGGTGTCTTTTCCAAGCTGCTCAATGACGTTCATCTTCTAGTCCCACTGCTAATTAATCACTTGAAAATCATTTACACTGTTTGCATCCATTGTTCACGAGTAAAAATTATAAATTTGGATTTCTTATCTAACGCTGTAGTCACTAATCTCCATCATAAATATAAGGAATTTTGTTTTATGGTGTAAATTAGGTATTATTCTAGACTTCTTTAAATCGTTTGGTTAGTATTGCACCACAATGTGTTTGTCATTAATTTTATACCTATTTATAAAACCTTATGTAAGTGTAGAGTCACATCATTAAGCTGGCCGAAAGCAAACAATTCTCACCTCGTGTTTTTAAAAGTGAGGGACACTGAACACCTGGTTGGTTTGAGAAGAGGGCATGAATGAAAATGTACTAAAACTTAAGGTCTTGGGAATACTAATTTCTGTGTGTATCTGCACCACTTTAGTCAATTCTGAATCTTATCACTCAGTGTCTAAATTCAATAATGGTGGTTATCTCCAGGAATGCGGGCCGGTAGCTTGAGTTTGCCAGCACGATCCAAATCGACGGACGGTAGTTTTTCTGTTGTACATGGATCCAGGTACACCTAGCCTTCCTATAACCCACTTTATCCACCACTCGGTTACTAAATTACATTAAATTCAAGTGGCTAATTGTAGTGCTTGCAAGGTACGATATTAACCCGACCGGTGCTGCTACCTTGACGTGGTGTCGAGCTTGCCTATTGTAATGAACCAACCGAGCTATGCTGGCTAGAACAATCGTTCCTCAAGGTCATACTACACCAGACAGGTCGGTTGAAGAACGGTAAGACTAATGGCAGCATACCTAAGACTGAGTGCGAATTCGTACTGCTGACTGTACAGAGGTGCGACGGAAGTAGGATATTTCCTTCAGACAACCAGCATAACAGCGATGCTGCCTTACCACAAGGAAGAGTGGGGTTAGGAAAGACCGACCCTAAAACTGCACACCTCACCTTATCCCACGAATATCCGTCTCCAGCAGTAAGGTCTCAACAAGTATGGAGCTAACCAAAAAATTACTCACAAAAAGGTCGTGTGTGATCGGCTTCAAGCAGTTGTTCCTTGGGCACTGCAGTCACGCTCTCAGGTCACTAAAACCACCTCTAGCCCAATTTTCTTTTCAGGTATTTCTGAGAGAACCCTTCTACGTCGCGGGCGACCGTGATGTGATAATCGCCCTCATACTTCTAACAGCACTCAAGATCACTGAGGTGCAATGATTTAGGTCTACTCATTCTCTTGTCAGGGTGAAAATCCTTCCAGTTATTTAGTGAATCACCAAGTAACTACATTAAAGAGTCAAGAGATGTGATGTTATTGGAAATTTGACTCTTAATAACAGTCTGTAGTCTTTATACAATAATCGTTGCCCAAAAAGTATTAGGTTCTTCCGTTTTTTTTCCAAATTCTGTTTGTTTGGGGTGTTACAGGAATATGAAACTCTTATCAACTCAAGCATCAAAAATGTGATTAGAAATGTAACATATGATGAACCAAACTTCCTAACATGGACCGGATTCATAGTTTTGGTAAGCATAGTTTTCGACGTAAACAATTTCACGATTTAAGATAAATATGACATTAGTTAGGTTGCCTTTAGCAACAAATGATGGTGAATTTGTTGTATTCCAATTTCATTAGAGTTTAAAGTGTGCGTAAATGCTATTCCAGGAGACTTAAAATATATTCACACTATTTGCTCATTTCTTGTTATGTTAAGCGTGTTTAGCTGTCAATTATGTTAACATATTTGAGGCTATCAGTTTGTTCGCAAATTATGCGTACTTGTATGATGAAGAAAGTTATAATGTAATTTTTACGTCTAAACATGCATTTGACAAATAGTTTACCACATCCCATACCAAGAAAGTATGCAATATAAAGTGATTTCATTCTCAGTATAGCAGCGACTAATCTATGAAGTCTTACTATAGATTTTTTGTGTTAGGCATTTATTATTATTTGAATACTTAAATATTTGTACAAAAGAGCACCGAATACGATACGCCACATAGTTCACTTGATTTGTGTGTGGGCTGTGATACTGCCCGGGTGCCCATAATGAAGCAGGCGGTTTTCTTAGGGGGCTAAACCCGGAGCCTTCGACCTAAAGGTCTTATCCACAAGGCAGTGGAGCAACGTAAAGAGATGCAGTCCTATGGTAACCGGTGACCAGCGATTAGTTCATACGCCATTTGTTCCTTCAGGATACTGCAGCCCATGTTCACCATTGGTTTGGAATCAGGGTTTTCCAACTCCCCTAGGTAAACTCTCTGTGTCCATCAATCAGGTTAAAGCGCTGAGCATTCGCTTTTCGTCCTCTCAATTTAATAAACAACACCCTCGTCACAAGAATGCAGTGAGTAGGATAATAACGCGATATACACCTACTACTTATAATGACGTATACATACATATATCATTAAACGTCTACTTTGTGGTACTGATAATTACCCTACATATAATAATCGTTAGAGCTACATATTTTTATTAGTTTTATGTATTGATACACTTGGTCACACCGATGACTCTTACGTGGAATTATAGCTAAGCTAACCAGATGTTGGGACAAAGTTATTTAGAAAAAACTCTATGTAAAATCGTTACCAGCCTGCACGTTGCACTTAACAAACATAACATAAAAGTCTAGTGCCTCCGGAATGAATCGTCCGTAAAATAAACAATGAAAAATATGTTTACATAAATAAGGTATCGTGTTTTTATATTTATTGTGATTTAGGACGAACCTCCCTATAATAAGGGTGCTTTCAAAATTGAAATCACTTTTCCTGTTGAATATCCTTTCAAACCTCCTAAGGTGATATTTAAAACACGCATATATCATCCAAATATTGATGAGAAAGGTCAAATATGCCTACCAATAATTAACCCGGAAAACTGGAAACCTGCTACTAAAGTAGAACACGGTAAGTTTTGATAATTGTATGTGAATGCTCAGGAAATATTCAGTTTCGTGTAGAAATGGTAAGGTATTTTTATGCACAATATTTCATTGCGTTGTTTTCTGCAAATAAATTTAATCTATCTCCTTAGAGTTCAGATATTTTTCATGTTTATTATGGGCTGTGTAACATGCGTAACTATTCCATTCTAGACTTGTCACTGTTACCTAAATGCACTTTTAAGTAGTCTTCATACTAGCTTGAGATTCATGCACCTTATTCAATGTATTTCTAAGTAAGATGCATTTTCGAGTATAGCTCAACCATTACTCTACAACTCATTGTTTTGTATATTTAATCTTAAATATTTGATCAAGGAGGTATTATTTTTCACTCTAGGTTGTTTTTTATCTGCATTATCTAGTATATGCAATAACTACATATGACTGATGAGTCAAATTTATGTAATGTTTTGGCTAGAATTAGGAAGTAAGTTATCATCATTTTTAAGACTCATCAGTTATGAGTCCTGTTACGGTCATATGAAGTGTAGGTTTACACAGTAAATTAATCGGTACTTGACTGTTATATTCAAACATTGCTTCATTTTCATTTGAGGAAGTTGTTGTTCGTAGCTTCACTGCACTCGTGAATTTTGGCTTAACCACATAAAGATGTGCTTGGAATAAATTAAACCTCAAAAATCTAGGTCATCAATGTGTCCGATTTAAGTTTGATATATTTTATTTTTAAATTGTTGGGTTCGGAAAATGATTTTAAAATTCACTTTAAATCTTCAGTCTTATCACATTCGCTTTAAAAATGTTTGAGAACACTTACTGGGTGTTCACTTTATTTACAGTTATTCAAGCACTTGTTGCAATGCTTCACGCACCGGAAGTTGAACATGCTCTACGTTCAGATTTAGCTGAAGAATATGCTAAGGATCAAAAGAAATTCTTCAAAAATGCTGAAGAGTTTACACGGAAATATGCGGAGAAAATTCCAAATTTGTAAATTTTGTAATAACTATTACAAATTTTTGATAATCTCTTCATGATCACTTCATCTTTTATTTTGTTTCTTTTTCTTTGGTCCAACGTGAAGTATTTTTTGTAACTTACACTATTTCACTCGTAATTATGTTGTATACACTGGCTTGTACACAGTTCAGCTGTATGTTAGTTAGTGCCTGTATTGCCATTTTTCTTTTTAATGTTAGGAAAGCTTTTGGCGAAGTTCATTAGAACAGTGTACATCACCGACAAAAGGTATAGAGTGATTAATACATCACTGATCTTCAAAAACAGTGAAATGTCTAAATAAATTAACGTATAATTTCATTTCATTTAAATCATTATTTCAAATACTTCTCTTGATGCTACTAATATTTCAAAATCTTTTGCTCTTCAAGCTTTTATTCTATTTTGATCAGTGCATTACGTTTCTTTAAAGTGCACAAAAATACTTGCATATACCAATGACATGAATGCATATGATTCCAACTTATTTCATTGAATTCATAATTCAAAGGCTCTGTTTTACAATCAGGGTACAGACCAGTTAAAGAGTAGAAGTTAGAGGTTTTTTTTAACGGTTTCTTTATTGGACCGCGAAATAAACGATCCGTTTAATCGATAGAATTTGATTAGCACCAGGATGGAGTTGACATTGGCCACTATCCAATAATCAGTCCATCGTAAATATATCTCATCACGAATAGCTCAGTGGTGACGTCTGTGAAGCTGGGTGACACAATCGAATTCCCCAGGGTGGGTCAGTTCCCTCAAGATTACAGATACACCCTGCTAACAAGTGTCAAATAGTGCGAAACGTTGCAACTTGATCAATAGAATTCGGTTGGCACTAAGAATAATTTAACGTATACGACATAGATCACTCAATGATCAATTAATTTTAAGGGTTTGTTTCTTATCTAAACATTAGGTCGTGTAAAACAAGTGCAACATATATCTTCTCAAAGTCTCTATCAATCCGATTTATTTTACTTCAGGTTTCTTTTAATGAGCATGGGGGTAAATAAATAAAAATCATGATATATTTTTACCTTTAGAAAGCAGATAACCTTTGTGGTGTGTCATATATGTTGAAACTGGTACTCAGCAGTTAAGGGTGATTTTTCTTAACAAGATCTCAAAAATTATCGTTTATCATAAAACCGGTATGTGAGGAATGTGAAAGTTGCTTCAAGAGAGTAGAATAAATAATCAATCCAGGCGATTGTAGGGAAGCGCTAACTTAGAATCCTTAAGGGAAAAGTGAAAGACCAAGGAACACATGTCAGGAATTAGAAGTAGATATCAAAAGAATAAATAGCAACTGGAGAGGATTGCCCAGGACGGAGACCAGTGGTGGGTGGCATATGCTCCTTCACAAGGAGTAGCAGGCTTAAGTAAGTGATGTAAAACTACAAATCCAACAACCTCCACAACCACTAATGTTAACAAATCATGTAAATGACTTTAAGCGGTGATTTCCAGAGTTGTAGTGAGAGGCTGTGACCAGTGAATTTCAACCCTATAAAGGTAAGATAAATATAATCGTATCAAGTGGTTGTAAAACTTGACACAGTTAAATCTATACTTTAATATAAGATATAAGGTGATATTCGTTGAATCCTGTGACGATTATTAATACCACTTGACTAATTTCAATAAAGTGTGTATAAGTTGTCTGTATGTTTATAAATCTAAATTGAATTATATGTAACAAAAATTTTAGGTATGTGAAAGTGAGTTTTGATGTACTCTTCTCTTCACTACCCTTAGACTAATCAATAACGTTATTCTAATCGTCCAATGGAGAGCATACTTTCGGATCAGTAGGTAGTGGTTTTACACCAACTCCAACTATTTCGAACAGAGGGTCCTAGAAGCTGTTTTCGGGTGTTAGATTGTTCGTAAAAGTAAACCATGGTTGCGTCTTTTAACAGGAGGAATATTGTTTGTTGGTTTCTGAAGCTGTCGTACTTAACCTTGTGTGTACAACTCACGAAAAGAAAATCATAGTGTCTGCATTAAGTATCACCACGTGCTAAACTTAAAATTCTGACCTCGATTGTACTTTCATTGATAGCTGTTCAGCTACCATGGATATAAACTTTCGGTTCACTAAATAATTCACTTATCCTGCATACGTCGCTTGTGTCTGTGATTGCATTACCTCAATTTACAGTCACATTTAATAAGTTCAAAGTAACATAACAAGTAATCAAACTAAGTAACTAACAATCTACTATTCATTTTGATAAAATCATGTCTCGTCAGTTGTTACCCAATATCGATGTTTCTCTGAAAATTTTATTTCTCTAGATGTTCTTAACAGGCGTTTGAAAAATTACCAAACAATTTGTTCAGGTATGTTTCGTTATAGCCTCCTGAAATCAAGTTTTATCCATATTCAAATTATCTGAGAAACATCACAGGTGGGCCGTTGATCAATTGATTGTCACATTTTGATCATTGGATCTAAATGCTATCCATCATGTGCTTATTTGAATAATTGATTACTTGAATCCCTGAGAATATACTTGGAATTCCAATCTTGCCATGTACATGTATGCGTTTGTTCATCGATCAATGTACTGAAATATTGTATTGAGTGCTACATATCGTCTGATATAAAATTATGTGCACAAAATATAATTTCAGTTAGGCTATCTGAAATATGCAGTGATAACGATCGAGGTTGAAAGGGGATTTTAATCGCATCAGAATTCGAACAAATAACCTTTGGGCTGTTTGATGTCTACTTACTAATGAATGATTGATCGTTGTTAAGTAAATTTCGTAATGGTATACTAAAAAATCATCTGTCTTAATAATTGTGTGTAAATGAATCACACTTCAGGTTGCTATGACTTTTCCAATCATCAACTAATTAGTAAAATATACATGGTTGATATTCATGGAAGCATTTCGATGTAAAGAAAATTCTCAATGCCCTCTATATTTGTCTTTCTGTAATTATAACTGTATTAGAGGGTTAGTGAAATTTTAATGGATTCGACTGAAGACCAAAACTTGAAAAACGATGGTCTGAATTATCGTAGATATTTTTTCAGTGCAGTTCAAAATGTACTGGAGTTTTCCAGGTTTAAAAAAAAGATTCTTGTGTAAATATATACCCTCTACCCATACAATGTAATTAGAATGATGTAGTCTCGACTGTTGTATGCTTTGATCTCGACCAAGTTAGAATACACTGATTGGTCCATATTCAACTAGTCAGTGCCAGTGCACGAATCAGTAGGTTAAATGATTCTTATGTACATTTTTATAACTTTCTTTGTTCAATCAAATGCCCTGGTATGGCCGAGAGTGGGGTGGGCCCGCCTTCCCTCTCGAAATGCTCTCACACGGCCACGCGTATACAGCCTCTGCCAGTGAAGTCCTACTCACTGCCTTCTCGTGGTGGGGGTGTTTACAAAATTCAGAAGACGAAGAGCGAATGTCTGGCGCTTTAACCAGATCGAAAACCAATGGTGCACATGGGCTCCAGTATCCTGCAGGGACAAATGGCGTATGAACCAATCGTTGGTCACCAGATACCATGGGAATGCATCTCACGATGCTCCACTGCCTTGTGGATCAGACCTTTAGGTCAAAGGCTCGGGTGTGACCCCGTAAGAAAACCACCTGCTTCGGTCTGGGCACCTGCGCAGTATCACACACACAAATATGGTGGGGCGCATATATATTTAGTGCCCTCTTGTACCAATATTTGTGTTGAAAGAAAGAAATCAATCAAAATGTAAGTTGTCCCCTCTTCATTTTGACTTCTCGAGTTTTGGGTGAAGCATGATATCCAAAGGATACTAGACAGTAGAGAAATCTGTTTTATAAGGAACTTGTATTAATTAGTATGTGATTGTTAGTTTCTTTCGATCAACTCTTTTGTTAACTGACATCTTGTAAGCAAATAGATATAGCTAGGTAAGTGTTTTATGAACATGACAGAACGCTTACAAATTCTTATGAGCTAATTCATTAACGGTAGTTATCGCGCTGTTTTAGATCACTGCATGGCTTATAAAATGTTAATAAAGAATAATGATTTCTGTATGCGGTAATCTATTGCTCTCATGCTTCTCTTTGCTCACTTAATAGTTACTAATTATCATATCTCAGCTTATTATATTTACCTCTAACTTATTGAACTGCAAGCTAGGAGTTGTAATTCTTTCCCGTAACTTGATATTAAATGGTATGTGAAAATGCTGTGAGCTTTGCTAGAACGGTTATTACTAAGCGTGAATACAGTTCACATTATACAAAATAATATTAAATTAACTCATATTCCATTAGTAATTAGGATATGTTTACTCTGAAATACTTGTGGATGTATTACCATGTAATTATTATCAGTATTGCTACCGAAACATATGATCAGTAAGCTGTTTTAATGTCTTATGTGCTCACCTGTATCTTAAGGTCATTTGAGTGGTATATAACCAATATTGACGATATCACTGCGCTCTATCGCATTATATCCGAATACCCGGGAGCATTAGGACTCGATCTGTATGGCTTTACCATACCTTTGAACGAAAATGATAGAAATAATTGCTTAATATAGTCCTGTTGGTAGTATCTCCTAGTCTTAATCACCATATCAATTAATCTGGTTGAGATTAATCGTCTGTGAGTAACACAAGTAGATAATGTGGTTGACATGGTTCTAAGTTGTAATGATCAAAGGTATATCCACTTGAATAGTGTGCTTTGGTTATTATTAATAGTCTATAACTTTTGTTTTTTAAGCTCCATGGAGGGATTATCACAATGCTTTTCGTAGTACGTTTTTATTAAATCTCCAATTTGTTAATCCGTATATAGTAAAACACGTTTCAAATAATCAATTATTTAGGAATTTACTGTTAAAGTTACCACTCAGTTACCAAAGTGTCTTAACTTTCAGTTTAGATATGTCGGCAGATAATAACATGTAGTTGAGAGACTTTGGGGGTTAGATGATAAACAAATGTAGATTTCTTT